TTCTCTCTTGCAACTTGGAAATTCGACAGTATATTTTACAGTTTCGTGACAAGGTAATTCATCTGGTCTATGTCTGACTGAGGCCATGTTGTAGCATTTTGGAGAAATGTTGCTTTTGGCATTGACCTCAAATGGTAGCATTGACCATCAAGATAGAGACACAACGTTAAGTGAAAATAATGAAATGAAGTTATCTAATAAGAGTAAAATAAAAAGCACTTTGAAAGAGGAGAGGAAACCTTTACAGCCCTTGGAAAATTAAAACATTGACAAATGGTACAAGAATAAACTTAATCAGCGGTCAAAAAGGCTTTTGACCTCTGGCTTAGACAATGCTTGAAAGTTTGAAGTTATGGCAAAGGGTGAAACACAAAGCAAATCATCACTTCAGAAATAGGATTTCACACAGTGCACTTATAACATAAATCATATACTCATAGTCATGGAAACACACCTATTGAGAAGTCAGTGGGGACAGACGGTTAAGACAGCATAAGGAATAAAATCAAAGCAGTTAGGATGACAACATGCTCTCAAGTTTAGAGGACTCACTAAAGACTAGAAAAGTACTTGTACAGGGTGAATTCAACACAGAGTAACACTTCAGTCAACATAAAATCTGCTCAGACATTAGTGATCAATAAATCATTTAGGATAGTTACACCTACATCTCAATAAAGTATCTACAAGTACACAGGAAAGTAAATCTTCTGCCTTGTAATTACAGACTCAACAGCCGCATCCATCATAAACCAACGCAGTCAGACAGAAACCATACTTGACAGCAAAGAGGGAGAAATAGAGACTTTTTAGCTCGGGCAATAATTTTTCAATTTTACACTTGGTCATGTTGGTAAAAGAAAAGGAGTCATGTCGCACAAACATGGGTTAAGTCCCACCAACCCTAAAAAGGCAGATTTTGTCACATGCCTGACCTGGAATGTAGAGCTGTGCATAGAGGACAAAATAACAACAAAATCAAATATATATGTTTGACTTTTTAAAAATATAAATATCTCAAACAAAGTATTGATCAAAAGTGATTGAAAAAATTTAGAAGTGATAATTTTCTAATCAAAATTCAAAGGCACTGAATAGATTAAAAACAAAATCTGAGTGTATTGCCAAAAACTATATACGTACTGATTTCCAAACAGCACTGAGAAAAGTTATTAACAAAGTTAGTGTCCGAACAGCAAATGCACAGACTCAACGAGAGAGTTTCACAACATATTCACCTTCATGATGGTAAAATTTTAGAGAACGATTATAAGAGGTAGATAACTTTAAACACATTTTTTGACACAGTACAAAAAGAAGAGCAAAACCATGAGAAGACCAAGTGACTACCAGGTTTCCCTTTTTTCCTCCTGATCCTCCTTCTCTCATTTTTCCAATCCTCACATAGACCAACACAATATGCATGCAGAGCAGAACTGCTAAAGATCTTCTTTAAAAAACTTGCGAGACATTCCTCTGCTGGTGTGTTTTTACGCCATCAGGGTTATCGGTATATGCACTGGTTTTATCTCAAAGAAAGAAATTCATGGACACAGTCCTTCCACCTCTAACAACACATAAATAAACAAAAGCTTAAAGCTATGAATATCACATAAAACCCTTGATACCGCAAAAACAAAATTATCAAACTCTTGCTAGGAAAGATCAAAAGCAGTATTACCGATAGAACAATGTTACATTTTTGACAACATTAAATCAAAAGAAGTTTCAGTGCCGACCGAATTATTCCTCTCACGCAGATTATACTCATCCTTCGAAAGTAAAAGATGTATTTTTGTTATCAAACATAATCTCAACTGACCCCTGGCACACTAATTCAGTTCTTGTCATGTTAAAAGTATTTTTTTAAACTGTACTTTCAGTATAGAAAAATGTGTTGATTGTATTGTCCCATTACACGCTAGTTTTTAATTTCCCTTTTCGTAAATAGGTCAACCTTTCAAATTTGCTGTCTTCTTGTCTCTATAATAACTCTATGTAGTTGACACATTTCTTAAAAAATGAAACTTTAACTAATGTCTCCCCAAGATGACAGACACAGAACGAAACACGTTTCAATTAGAGCACCATAACCTTACTTTTATTAGTAAAAGAAACCTGTATTAATGAAAAAAAAATTTTGTTTTCGTTTTTCTTATAAAATTTTCGTTAATTTAAGTGGAGTGTGTAATACAATGAACAGTTTAATAATAAACATTTCATTCACTTCTGAATCTCAGGAATATACACTGCTTTCCATAATTAGAAATTAACTGTCATGTCAACCACATACCAAGTCTTAGTTTTAGTAACAGTTTTACAGCACTTGCAACACAATTAGATCATATAAGTGCCGAAGATTAGAGCTGTTACAAGAGAGTAACAAGACAAACACGAAAAAGGAGGGGAGATAATGACGATAGATGTTTGAAAGGTAAGGAGAAGCATAACAAGTCTAATAGACTTACAAGAACATTGATATCTAAACAGAAAAGAATCCCAGAATTACTGCTGGACCAATGGACTGACAATGCCAAAGAAAAAACAAAAACAAAACAAAACAAAACAAAACAAAACCCAAAAAAAAGAAATATTTTTCCAAAACCCCTGAAAAGCTTGCTTTCTGGCTTTAACTAGAAAATTTGCATCCCTCAAGCAGACAGTGACGTCATAATAGCAACATGCAACCAATGACAAGCCTCAATAACATCAACTAAAAGTACAAAAGGCCAGCCTCAATAATGTTGACAAAGAACAAATGTAGTACCAGGGACGCCCAGAAAGCCATAATGCAACGCTCTTGGAGCACACAATAGATCTTATTAAACAAGGCCATGCTGGTGATTATGACTTGATCCAAGAACACTTCACAAACATCCTCTTGACTGGTTTAGATATATATAATATATATATATACACACAGAATACACAAACTATTATGAAAGGCAGATTACAGTATGTATAACTTATGGGGTATGTATACAGACAGACATTTTATAACGAAGTCAGATCATGGTACAAATCATCAGTACAGAAGTACAAAGTGTACACATAAAAGAGGACAGCAATGCATGAAAAGCATGAAAAATCTTTAACAACAGCACAGGCATAATTTGCGATATTTGGATCAAAGATCAGCAGGTGCAGAAAGGAGAATTTACACCTTTGAACTGCTCTAGAAGTATACTGTGATATGTTTGTAAGACATTCGAAGAAGATTCAAATCAAGAAAGGACAGATGATTTAACACTCTGTTTCCTATCAAACACTTGGGCCACCTGTATGTTTATTATTAAAAAATTTTCGGAGAAACCAGAGAGTTCACAGAGTGAAAACACTTCCAAGTATTTATTACTTGACAGATTCCCAAACAAAGTAACTGCAAAAACTGCTGATAACTATTTTGGCTTTAAGGCAAACAGGCAGTTTCCCAGACGAGTTGTAATTTCATCTTCTAATCAATAAAACACAAGTGACGGATGTGACGGATGTGACTGACATCCGTTTTCGATAATATCACTTCCAATTATTAAAATCTTTTTTTATCTCGGATACTAATTACCATTTGGCAGCATGAATCACATCTTTATAACCACAGGATGAAGATTTAAATCAAAATCAAATTTTGTTTCATGCTACAGCAGGCCCTATGGTGTAGACACACACACATAATATCTATTTACATATAGCACATGTATGCTTATAGCACCTTTATAATAAGCACTTGAAAAGAAACTATTGTCTCAATTCTAGAGATACAAAGTTCAAGCCTTATGAAAGCAAATAGTTTTTCAACTCAAAATGACAAAATTAAATTCAAGATTCAAGAACTTTCTTAAAACTGTCAGACTCTCACAACATATTTTCATATACAAAGGAGTTCACAATTCTTCTAAGATCAGTCAGAAAACACAATTGAGAAAAACAAATCTGGCAATAAGGGTCACTGGCAGGAGTTGCAAGTTAGGAAAATGAAAGCACAGATAAATCTGTTAAGTACAGTTATAGATCATAGTTTCTTTTCATAAATAAATGATTTGTCACTCTGGGGCTACTTTGACCTGGACCTCAAGTAAGGAAGGGAATTCTTCCCCCCCCCCCCCCCCCCCCCAGGCACTCACAAATTAACAATGTGCATAGCGGAGAATGGCCGAGTGGTTAGTAGGTTCAGATTCACAAACAAGGTAAAGCCATGTCACTAACACAGCAAGTACTCTGGTAGTCACCGGGACATGCAGAAGAGCATGATACCCTCACCCGAGCGAAAAAAACTGGGAGCTGTACAATGACGACCAGCAAAGGCAAGTTTGTAACATTGTCTGTTTTGGTGTGATTATGTATTTTATGTGATGTTGACATAACCTACGAATTGATTTATGCTGCATTGTACACACCATTGTACCAAAGTTGCCCTAAAGGATCAATAAAAGTGGTATATTTGTTTATTTAATAACTAAAGCAGCCATTCTCCAGAGCTCAATCAAATACACACATTAAGAAAATAATAATTGACCTGAGAATCCTTGCCTTCATTTTTTAAATTCCTAATTGATATGAAGCTTATAAAACAGTTCTGTTTACAAATCGAATTTAAAATTTATCAAACTATGCTGAACATCACATGATATACTTGAAAGCTTTCTATTTATAACAGTGTGAGTAACACTAAAGCTAAAGAAACTTAAAGATGTTGCAACTGCATGTTGCATATATACATCAAACTTACTAATGTGGTCAGAAAAGATCAACATTATAAACTATACAGGTGAACAGCTTACACTGTAAACCTTTCTGAATGCACAAATATACTGGACAGAATTGCCATGTTAGACATCTTGAGATAACCGATGAATGATTGAAAAATATATAAGTTGATTATAAAGTTCATGTGCAGCTTTAAATGTCAGAAGTTTTGCTCATTACAACCTATTCATGAGAAATCAGAAGCATGGCTGATTTAGGTGATTGTAGTGAAACAATTACTATTGTTTTTATTGTTATCAATTTTTATTAATCAGTCTGTCATACCATTTTCATAATCAGTACTAACTTCAACAGAAGACAGAAACTACTGAGAGGGCTAAAATCAGTCATGATGACAAAAGTGCAGTAAAATTTACTGAATTTCTGGTCTTTTACCAGAATTAGATAAACTTCAGTGCTGAAGCAGTAACTCTTAAAACTGGACATCAACTTAATAAACACCCTGTGACATCAAAGGCACACGGAAAACAGACATGACATCTCACGACAAAAGAGGAAAAAAGAGAAAAGAGAAATATAAAACATCTCTATTACCATCACCATCATCATATAAATGTCTTGACTTTCCAAGACAAGCTGCAGTCATCACAGAGACACTATCAGATCAGTTCAGGAAAGTTAAAAGAGATCCAAGAACAGAGAAAGGCTTACAAAATAAACTAGGCTCACAAACAGAATCAACAGAAACAGCAATAGTATTCAAGTGTAAATGAGCATATATATATATATATATATCAACATAGAAAGATAATAGGCATATACTGGGTATCACAGCAACAAACTTAGGCAGTTACAGTATACATATTTATCTGTAAATGCAACCAGATAAATGCAAAGAAAAAGCCAGATTAGGTGTGGTAAAGACTCTATAAATCAACAACAACTCCATTTCTTGATTCACATAATGCATCCATCTGACTCATTGGTAAGCTAGAATCAAGAATTGACTTGGAATTCTTAGCAAGTCAGCATAATAATGGCTACAATGCACCAGGAACAGAACAGAACATAGGTTACACTGAAAAGAAGTACAGAAGCAAACCACATCAAAGCACCCAACAACCACCCTCAGCATTTATCAAACAATCGTCAACCCCTATACAGTGAAACTACAGACTACTACGAATGATCATTCGCACCTCTGATAAGATGATTTTTGGCCAATAATTAGCACATAAAAAAAACAATATAAGGAAATAGAAAAATTTTTCACCGAAAGCAACAACTTTCAGGTTGCAATTACACTTTCAAGGCAGAAAGTGTGGAATAGAGACAAAGCCAAATAACTTTCAGCAAGCATTGACGATATTTTTTAAAAACCCACTAAAAATATTTCCAACTATTCTAAGCAAGTTTGGCTTGTATGATAGATTCCCAATACAATATTCTGAGGAAACAAAGCTGTATTTTCTGAATTTGTGCATCCACAGTAGTTCATTGCTCTTTTCTGTCCTATGTGTATCTACATAGCTTCTTGGATTCAGCCTGCAGATCTGCACAACTAGGGGCATGAAACAAAACAAAGGTGCATTCCACTCGATTGTGATCATGACCACGAAGTGTCAGCAAAACTAAATTCTATTGATTTCCATCACAGCAAACATTATCAGTCTCACTACTTTGCTCAAATAAATTCAATCACAGAATATATGGCAAACAAGATATAGGTAGGCCTATATGTGTTCCAACATCTAATTTCAACCTTCTTCCCACTATATGTCATGTATCAAAAAAATAAAAAGTGTCAAAAGTAAATTTTCTGTCAACAAAAACTTGAGATACAATAAAAATGTATTTGTATACATGTGTTTCATGAAATCACAATATACAGAATGATTGAATAATGTATGAATTTATAAAATGTGTATACGAGATATGATATGTACAGCACTAATATAGTAAGTGGTGGCTTTCATGGAACACACACTGGATCCAGATCTCAAAATGCCATGGGTCAAATTGTAGGTCCAAGTCTTATGAAAGACGTAAAAGAACAGCCCTGTAATATTGACTATTCTGCAATGCTAAGTCCTCATGGAAAACCAAAAAAATAACACACCCCCCCCCTTCCAGCCCCCCAAACTGAAAAGTACAACACAATACCAAAAACGAGAATGATAAGAAACCATTCACTACCTAATGAAATTTCAAAACCCTCTAAGACAACTAAGCAAGATACTCATTTCACTAAACACAGCTACCCCTATAGATTTATGTTGAACACTTATCAAATCATTGCATGCTTTTTTAAATTAAACAGTGAAGTACTATCTACAGTCATTCAAATGTGTATCAAATAGAAGATGGCAACAAACAAACAGATCAACATATGTGCCATCGTTCAGATAACTCTCAAAAACTAATGTCTCATCATAAAAACCTTTAAAGACTTGCTAGTCTTTATCTCCTAGGATCACATGGGACCAGCCATCTGTTCCTCTCTGGGATTTTAATTTACACAGAAACCTACGAAGACAAACATGAGACCATTACATAACAGCCAGGATGACAAAAACTTAAAGTGTTGCAAACAGCTTTTGGACAGTCAAAACTTTTCAAACTATACCCTTCCTCTACATGGATATGTGAGCAATATCTAAAATAAACCCATCCCAACAAACTTCAACACACAGCGGCCATGCTGATGCTGCTTTCTACGCATTTGGCCACATGAGAGCAAGACTGTCTCCTTCCTTCTTAAAAACAGTTCCACCATTAACTGCCGTTTCCTTAACAACAACCGTCCGTGGCTTGTGTCCCAGCATACAGTTAAGCGTCTTGGAAATATTCACTTTCATATCCTTCTTCAAAATTCTGCGGAGCAAAACCAGAAACAGAAATTATATTTGAGATATATATGATTCGAACTAAATCCATTAAAACCAAATAATTGTTTTCATGAAGGGCATGAGTGGTAATAAAATCTTTTTAGAAAAAAGTCATTTTCTTTATTGCTTCATATATATCCTTTCTTCTGCAGAGAACTAGAAGTGATTATTCTTTGTTCTAAAAACATTGAATTTTTATGGCACCAAGTAAACAGGAAACACTTTGACAAAATGCAAGGATTTTTGTCAAATTATCTACCATTTTACAAGCACAAAGCGAGTCAAATAGGGCAATATCCGAAGTATTTGCATTTTGAAACATTTTTTTGGGGGAAAAAAGAAAACGCACCTGAAAACAAATAGTTTTCATCAACAAATTAATATTCATTAAAGAAAAAAAAACCTTTTTCAAACAACAACCCTTACTTGTGCATGTGTGAGCACATGACCCCGATGAGCTCGCCCACCCGCTCCTCCTGGGCCGGGTTCTCCAGGCAGAGCACCAGGTCGTTGCCCCCACTCAGATGTATGATGGCCAGCTGGTCGCGGCCTGGACTCACGCTCATGCCCGTCACCTGACACAAACATATAACCAACAAACAACGTTTGAGTTTGGGTTTTTTTTGGTAGAAAAAGACACATTGACACAATAGTAGCCATAAAATGCAAAGAGAAAAACAGTGAAAGACAGGAACATCAGAAGGAAAGAACAGAAGTAGAACCTTCCAGTGCCGCCCTCTAACCACCGACCTGAACAAACAATTAACAACCGACAAGTAAACAGTTGACAAATTTAGTTGATAACTGTACAATGATCATCAGCATTTGCAGTTAAGCAACTAGTTTCCTTTTGAACGGTAATCAGATGACTTTTGTTCAATATTTGCAAGATTTCTTTCCCGATACATATCTTTTAATCCATTGTGCTTGTCAGAATTGCATAAAAGCCTTAACATTAGGGGGTTGGTTTCACACTCGCCGGGCAAGTGGTAATTTTTGCTAAAATCACGGTTTTTCCTCTTTCTTGGCTCATAACTTATTTCTCAGCCTAGCAACATAAAACCAACACGAAACGAGAGGTCTATGTGTGCTTTTTTGGGGGAGGCATTGCACTGCCAAGAACGAAATGCTTGCAGCTAAAGGGATTAGAAAACAACAACAACATGTTTGCTTTTTGTTTCCATGTTAATTTCAATGGGAAGAGAAATGTAAAACATTATATATTTTTTCATTAAAACTACTTCTGCCACAACGCGTAGCACGCAAATTTGGAAAAATAGTTTTCGTACAGTTTATTTGAGCGGAATTTTCCATTACTAATCACGTGATTCTGTAGTAGAATTGAACGCTGAACTGTTAACAACCCACCCAGAGTTTGTAAAACGCTTTTGTAAAAAGTTATGTTCAAATACATGTTTTATCTTCCAATATTTTTTCATCTACGATGGAAAACGCACCCGAAGCAAGTTATATTGATAGATATATCATTCAGCTCTCTAGAAATATCATTTTTGCTAAAAATAATCAATGTTTTGTTGGAGAAAATCGAACTTTACTACACCACCCCAATTCACTTCGTAAGGTAAAAAAAAATTCACCCGCAGAGCCAAAGGTCAGGGGCGTGTAACTTTGGATTTTTAATGTAACTGATGTAAACAACGACTAGTTCTCGTAGTACGAGAGAGACCAATATTATAATTTACGGCCAAAGATACCTTTTTATATTTGAATACTGAATATAAAATATAAGAAAGAAACTAAAATGACAATTTCAAAGGATATTAAAAAGTGCGGTGGGCTTTGGTCCTCCTACAATGTGATAAAAAGAATGTATTCTTACTAATCCAAGAAGGAAAAGGTTTATTGAAGAAAGCACAGGTCAAGTACTAGAAAATCATGATAGATGAGGGGGGGGGGGGTCCAGGTCAAATGGCGTTTACCCAGACTTTGAGTGCCCTACGCAGTAGTCATTGGGGTGCAGAATTAAAAAGAAATTGAAAAATCTTGATGATAAGTTCACCTGGTAACAAGGCATCGTGAAATAACTAGCACAGAGCTCCTCAGAAGGAGGATATGATTGTTGCTGTAGCCAAGTTCAGTGGCTCAGAAACTCATGTTACTTTGAACTTCAGTTGTGAAATGAAAAAAAAAAAGGGATTCTTGACTGAGAATATTGCTGGTCTGGTAATTGGTAATATGGCATGGTATCGTAGGGAGTTTACTTATGTACTTTATCTACCTCTTGCAGCCTCTGTTACATTTTATACTTATGGTGTTGAGGAGAGATGCAAACATCTTTCTCTTGATTGTTATGCATGGTTGGTTTTGTTTAATGTTTCTCCTTCTGCTCCAGCAGTTTAAAACATCTCCTCTGAGATGTTGGTCTTCTGAGATGCTTTACACGCCCTGCTTCCTTGTGTGTTTGTTTTTTTAATTAATTAAACGTAGGTGATTTTACACCCCCTTCCTGTCTGTTAGGGCCAACCTAGGCTGAGAGAGATACAACATTACAGCAGAAAGATAGAGATACTAGATAACAATTTTCTCCCCTCTTGGGAATCAACACTAGGTCTCCTGCATGTGACAGCGAAGCTCTTAATCGCTACACCACAGACGCTGGTTCTCTTCCTCTTTATCTATCTGATCTTTGGTAGTATGCTCTCTCATCAGATGCATCACTTTTTGCTGATTTAAAGAATGTATACTTCTGCTCAAGACTGTTGGCATTCTTATGGAATTAAGATTCAAAATCACTCAATAACCCAAATACATCAGGGACTGACAAATGTCTTTGACACACCCGTAATTCGGGTTAAAGGCTAAAGGTGATGAAAAATTGAAAAGACATCAGTCAGGAAATGGCAATTTGTATGAGCTATTCATGATTTTAAGTTTTCTGTGTTCATGTTGTCCGTTCCCAACTATACATATATATACATAAATATTCTTTTTTTTTCGAGGTGAAATATGATTTTTTAAAAACAAAATGAATATTTTGTTGTTTTTTAAAGTTCGTTAGATGCGCCTAGTCATGCTGATTAAGAAAATATATACTTTTGTACACTTTTAACGTAAAACATTAATGTTATGTTTTACAGGTAACGTTTTCTTTGAATTAAGGAAAACTGTTGCTAAGTTGTCTTTTTCATGCCTCATTTGGCACAATTTGGTACCATCCTCTTGTCTATATATAAATAAGTAATTAATTAACCCCAAAAAGGCTCTAATTCACAGCAATAAACTTGCATAACTTTTGAACCGTTTATCCAATCTTCATGCAGTTTTTTAAAATATTTTTCTCAGCTCTTTTAGCTCTATGTAGTGACATGTATTTTGGTCTCAATAATGGCTTCTAATTTTTTTCATGAAACCCCCTATTAACATATGCTTCAAATGAAGTGGAGTGTCTGAGATCTGCATGAGGCATTGTGTTTCAATGACAATGAAAAAGATGCTAAAACAAGAACAAAGTAAAAATGAAAAATAATAACACTAACCAAAGCATATATATCTTACATCTTCCTCCTTCCACCTCTGCTTAACAAGAAAAAGAACTTGTGAATAAATTGTACAACTGAACATTGATTAGTCAACTTACATCTGTTAGTGGATAGCCCTTGTTCATTGGCTTAAACTTCTTCTTCACATCAATTTTGTAGATGAATTTGTCAGTGATGGCAATGCCTCTCTCTGCTGTCTTATTGTGCTTGTTAGCCTGAATATCAACAACAAATATAGAAAGAAAGAAAAAACATTGTAAAGCTTTAAACAAAAAATAAACGAAACTACATTTTTTTTTAGCTTTCATTAAAAGTGCTACAAGTTTAAAGATCTCATCACTGTAGACGAGCATGATCTTTAAAACAACCAAGGCATTTACTTCTCCCTTGGATGTGCCCACATATATATATATATATATATATATATATATATATATATATCAACTCTCAAATTACAGGACTTAGTTCTGTCCATGATGGTCACTTCATCAGAGATAAAGTACTTTACATAAACCTATTGTGCTAAAAAAAAAAAAACAATCTAAAAATATCCACAGAAACAATCCCAACTTGTAAATTTATCTGCTTGTCTATTTGAGTAAAGAGATGCACATTAACACAATATAACAGTCATTTAGAGCACAACATTTTTTTCATCAAAAGCAAGATAAGTGAACAAGCTTTCAGATGATACTAATAACTCCATATAGCCAAAAATTGACGAACGTCTGATTCCACAGCATCGTGACACATCGCTTTGTGCTCAAAGAGGAGCGACACTCTTTATCATAATCACAGTAACAAACCCATTAACAGCTATGAGTATATTCCTGACAAAACTATCCCCAACAATAAATGTAAGCTGCAGAACCTATAAAAGTTATAAGATTAGCACTCACCTTCTTCACGTAGGATGAAAACAGAACAATGGAAAATCCATCTCTGTTTTTCAGTGTGCTCATTTGCGACACAAAGTCTGATGTGTTGCTGTTGTCTTTTGTCTGGACATCAAGAAAAGAAAAGAAAGCATATATATCAATAATCAAATAACTACAGACAGAACAACGATTAGATTCAGAGGTCCATATTATACCATTTAAAATAAAAGGTGAAAAGTAAAGATAAAGTAGTCACCAAGAAACTTGAGCATAAGTGCTAGACAGGTCATAATGTTTAAAAGTTGACAACCATTTGTGCTTAGTGAAAGAAATTGTAATGATTAGAGAAAGATTGTGAAAATAAAAAGATAAAATATTGATATGAGATTGCAGAATTCAGATTCCCTTCCAGCGACTGACAAGGGTTGTATGTTCCAGGCCAGTGTCCTTGAACTTCAAACTTCATAGGTCAATAATGAATATCAATTTATTTAAGATGTAGTCCCAGGAAACATATTATTAGTAGGCTCCGCATAATATGACACAACCTGAAATTTCAATGGTATTACTTACAGAAGCCAAATAATTTCCCTCCCAGTTCCGCTTGACCCCCCAGTCTGCTCGTTTCCCAACAAGAACGTCTCCTGCCATCACTTTCAACCTCATCATTGGCCGATCTTTTGGATCAATTCTTGCCAGAATCATGTGGGCTCGCCATCTGTGGATCAAACAACAATATAACAATAATATAAACCTAGCCCTGCTCAAGAGAACTAATAGATCTAATAGAAAATTAAAACAAGGACATCAGGTTTACACAGGCAGTTCTGACATTAAATCTTCCACTCACAAGCACACAACACTTTGTCTTGCTGGGAAAATGCCAGGTCAGTGAATGTTCCTCACTTTGCCTCACTGTCAAAGTTGTATAACATTAGTAGCTATTTCTAATAGGCAATCTTCCATACACTGAGGAGATAAAAAGTCGGTAAATATTTGTAAAATGTGATCCTAAGCCCTTGTGTAAGAATTGAGAAAATGTGTAAATTTCTTTCATGGGCTACAACAAAAAAGTCTCAAAATTAATTATTATTTATTTCTAATAATGTCTTTACCTCTGGGTCAGAAGGTAACATCTTGGTTCATTCTAGAAACATCAAATTCATAGTAAACTGACCTTGCATGTGCTCTCTTCAGAAGTTCCACAGTAGGCCTCATAGAGTGCGGAGGCTTGGGCCATTGGATGCCTTTGCCGTAGTCCTTCATTCTGCGAGCATTTCCAAACCTCTCGATGCAGGCCAGGGCATAGCTCCTCAGCTTGTAGCGTTTGAACCGCCTCATGATCAAATAGATGGCTCTAACTTTCTTGGCCTTCTGACGTCCTAGAGCACCTCGCGTCAGCTAAGACACAACGCAAGAAAATGATCAATATAAGACCACCATTTGTGGAGTGAATCCACAATACAAGGGACAACAAGCAGAAAGTAAAAGAATGATGTAATATCAATAACAAAACTTATAGTTATGCAGCAGATTACCAAAAAAGGATGTTATAATAATACTCTCTCATTCTACAATCATATCGTCGCTATCATAAGCAATCCATTCAAGTCCAAATTGACAATTTTTTATTTTTACACCCTCTCAAAGCTCTATCAAAGACGCACCTTTCGACATCACTAAAATGCAATTTAAAACTATGGTCAAAGCTTATAATTTTCTTGTTTTTCATGATTCCTGACAGTGACAACACAACAAAAACTAGTTTTTTGTCTCCAACGCAAAAAAGGACCCAAACTTACTTAGGTGCATTGCTTGCGACACTGACATATTGGAATTTAAAGAAAAGACATAAACTAGACATCAACGTTTGTATGAAATTAACTTGAGACTGAATTGTAAAGTCTAACTTGGCATCAAGTTCATGAAATTCTCCAGTCTTGCAAGGACAATGCAGTCTCCCCTAACAAGCCACAAGCAGGATCATGTCACTCTATTATTCCCATAAACCATTGACAATTTGCTCCAACAGACAGGACACATGACAATAAATGGAAAGTACATTTCCATGTAAAACCGACATAAGCTAAAAACATACAAGTCAAATTATCACAACATCTAGTCACACGGTGTACTTACTCTCTGCAAGAACAAAACAATTGATGGAATCTTTGCATCCCTGGCAGTTTCCAGAGCAAACAAAGTCTGCGGAGATCTAATGAAGATCTTAGATTTGCCGTACTTCACATCGTCTTCAAAGCCCTGGTCACGGATGATGCGCTTCACACCGTCCAGAGTCTGTCCATTGAAGTTGGGCCATGTACTTGAGTTGATCAGCTTGTACCTTTAAACAACGCAACAAGAAAGTCATTAGAAAGTGTAAGCATTCAGTTAACTACACATTGTACACCAAATCCTCAAGCAGGCCATTATCACACCACATACTTTACTATGTACAGCAGGAAAGCAAAACATAGCATTTTCCAAATAGTTTAGTTTAGTTTTAGTAAGAGTTTTACGGCACTCGCAACTGCATAAGGTCATATGAGCGCCAGAAGATTAGAGGTGTTACAAGAGAGTAACAAACACAAAAAAAGAAGGAGGGGAGATAAAGACGATAGATGTTTGAGAGGAAAGAAGGAGCAAACCACACCAGAGCACCCGCCAACCACCCACCCAAATAGTTTGAGCAGCAAAACAGCTAAATTTTGTTTAAAATCTGAAAACTAAATGATGCCAGTAATGAAAATGCCAATGCTCAAAAGATGTATGAAATTAAAGACAAAAAATATATATTCTGGCGATCAAATCATTTCTGGGATTTTGAAAGATACTAAAACCAAGATGCTGTTGTAAGTCGCAGTTTACTATACAGTGAGTCCACAAGACAATGACCACATTTCACTACGAACAGACAGGACCAGTGCATTAGTTACAATACACCAAAGCACATGACTAACATGTACTGAAAGAAACTGAAATTACAGAAAAGATACTACGTACCGTTGCAAGAAGCGCTCGTACTGCATTCTGAAAGCAAACCCAGCCCTGCGCACTCGCACATTCTCTAGAAGTCCCAGGTACATGACCTGATGCTTGGTGCGAGTATCATCAAACACAATCGGCGACTTCACTTCATTAGGCTTGATACAGCGCACATAGAATGGTGTCTGCCAAGCACAAACGAGGGAAAAAATGAAAATCTTTAAAGTTTCTTTATACAACTTATTATGTCAAGGAAACTAATTATTTTAAAAATAAATGTGATCCAAAAGATAATACCAGCATTGTGTATACCTAATCCCAAACTTGAGTCCTGAAGTGAGTAAAGATGGAGGGAAAAGAATGGTACTGTTAGTGGCCCTGGCTTATTTTCTGGACACATACAGCTCTGACTACTGACCAGAACATTTCAGTTTTGTGCCTGTTTTTGTAGGTGTGTTCTTTTTATATATTCTTAAAAATGACAGAAAGTAGAATTTTAGGGACAATCAACCTTGCTCCATGTTACAAGTAATTCAATCTGATTACATTTGAACTAACTGCGCAAGAACTTTCTACAAACTCCAGTGTTACATCAGATTAATGGCTTGAGCCAGTGTTATATTTCTCTCTTTCTTGTTATCAAAGCTAAGCTAGATGCAAAAGAAAGATGCCAATAGTGTCAAAATTAAAAACCAAAAAGTTACCTTGCTGGCCAAGTTTTCAACAAGGGCAATCATTGAGTTCTTGAATGATGTGCCAGCTGTGATTGGCCTCTTTGTGGTCTGAAATAAAAATGAAAGACGACAATAACGTGAAAACATTGGTGAGTTTAGAAGAATACAAATCGCCCTGAAACTGTCTCCATGGGAGTGGGAGAGGCCGTCAGTACTTTCCAAATTTGTATCCATTTCACTATACATTCCAAGGGTGAGTAGAACACTGGGAGCAAAGAATGGTTCTTTAGCATAAAGAAAGAAAAAGATGACAAGCCCCAAAAAAAACAACAGAGGGAGAGTATGGCATAGAACCTACCAACAACACCCTCCAACCACACATAAGTGTAACAGCTCAGTTCATTTTTTTAGACTAAATAATAAACTAGGAAAGATAATTTCATCCTTGCATTCTTAGGTCATACAGTTTTAACCAAAAGGACAAAAACTCTTAAGAAGGGTCAGCATAAAGAACAAATGACAGCAGCACACATTCAAAGGCACTTACCTCTTTCACGCTCCGAGCTCCTTCAGGCCACATGTCTTTGATCACAGAGTTGGTGCTGAAAATTGAACCAGAATTTTATGAATAAAAACAGCAGTCCTTAAGGATTTGAGCAAAAGTCTTCCATCCTAAAGTCTAGTATGATATGAAATGAGCTATCAGTGCCCCTACTATAGACTGAGCATAGCCCACATCCCTACTCTTAAGTAAGCTTCATGTGCTCTACAAACTATTATCACTACATCAGACCATGAGACATTCCAAAGCATTCCCACCTTCCAGGAAAGCATCTGTGTAAGCTGTCATTCTACAGGTGCTCCCATCACCAATATTCTGACATGATCTTTCAAAATCTAAGCCAGATATCTAAAATCATAAACAAATATGAACCTGTTAAAGAGAAGTCTCTTGAAGTCCATGAACAAAGTGTCCTTGTTCTTGTCGATGAAGCCAGCCACAGAGTAGGTGACATCACCAGCGTAGTGCCTGATGCGGAAGTCTCTTTTGTGTTCCAACGTCTTGTCTGCGGGGGCCAGCTGAGGAGAAACAAAGACACAATAGCTACAATATGAGGGTATAAGGGCAAGATTTGAGTAAAGACAAGTGCATTGATGTGATTATGGTCATTAAGCACTGGGAACAAGAAAGACAGATAGACAGAAACAACAGAAGGAAAGTAAAGAAGTAAGATCTACCAAATGCGCCCTCAAACAGCCCACATGAGTGCAGGGTTAATGATGCTTGCATACAATGCTACGAAGTAAAAAGTCAGAAGGTTTCATTCATGTGCTGTGACATCATTTATTAGACACAGAAATCTGACTGATAATGAGGTACCATTGAACTTCAATTTCTAATGACTTAACAGAAAAATTCTAACATGTCAAGTTTTGCACACAATTAACATGCAAACACCTTAACTAATGTATCTTCATGTGTGATAATATACATACTGTTGGTAGAAATAACAAATTATTCAGTTACATTGAGGAAAAGAAAGTGGGGCCGCATGGGCATGTCTGAAATGCAGGTGTAATAATGCAAGTATCCTTTACAGTAGTTGCTGAATTTGCATAAAGACAGTATTTCAAGCTACTTTGAACACTGATACCTCACACTCATTTTGAAAAGAAAATGGACTTCCTATCTCATTACCAAATGGGTATGTTTAATTACCAGCACTCTTGATTTACCTTTCTGCAAGTGAACCTCTCATGCTTTCCCAGTTTTTGTGACATTGCATCAAGAAACATCTGCAGATATAGAAAAACACCAAAAAATCATGACAACCGGTTTGTAAAAAGGAAAGAGGTAATACAAGACAATTCATTAACTTCCTACATGCAAAGATTTTCATCAATTTTTTTTTCATCCTTTTATTTTTTGCTGTTATAACCTTCAAAACTGTGACTAATCGTTCATGCGTTGGAATTTTTTTCCTTAATATCCATAATTATGCATGTAATTGAGAGTAATCAAAATCTATTTCCTGTTTTCTGTCTCACAAAAAAAGATGAACATCGAAACAATAACAATCATTCAGTGCAGGGAAAAGTAAGACACAGACACAACAGGGGGAAATGAAAAAAGTAAGACCTACAAGATGCATCTTCCAACCACCCACTCATCAAAACCAAACAAAATAATTAAGAAAACCACAAAGTAAGACAAAACTGTTGTGCTGGCTTCATAATCTTTTTCTGAAGCACAAAATAGATCATTTTGAAAACACATAAACAGATATCAGACAGTCAGTCACAAAAACTGTAACCCCATTTTTAAGCCTGAATCAAATTAACCAGCATAAGAGGAAAGGGCAGCTAATCCCATGACATTAAAGCCTGTCATTCACACTTTTAAACAAGAGAACTGTGATCAATGTCATCAGAGCAGTCAGTCAAGTGGTGTGTGCATGTTACAATCACGGCTACCACACCGAACTAATGCTACGTTGACATATTTTCAGTAAATTATTCCACTAAGCTGGATGTTGCATCTTCCATTTCAGTATTTTATGTCCAATAAAAACCTTCAGTACTCTTGACAGTTCATAAACTAACATACGACACATCATCATACTTTTTTTTCCAATGCTTGCAAATATAAAGGTACTATGTGGTGGAGTGAAATTATTATTCTAAACTGAATGCAAAAGACTAACAAAGTTGGGACATAGTTTGCCAACTATACCTCAAGAACAAACACAATTTTTTGTAAGTATCCTTATGATAGAACCGAACATAACACATCATTTAAAATAAACAAGAACAGAAGAGTACAACTGACCTCATCTGTAACCTTGCCAACATTAAGACAGGCTTCATCCAGGATAGCCAGTACTCCCTTGTGAGGCAGCTCAACCAGGTCACAAATGACTTTGTTGTTGAAATAGTCCACCTAAAAAAAAACACAGGAGGAATGAGTAAGTTTTCAAATCATTAATGATTCCTTTCTAGAAGCACAAACTGACAATATTAGGTGCTGATGTATCAGAAGACCTGGATCAAACTTAAAGACCTCAGATTTTAAAGAAATATGCTGATATTTTTGTGTCTTTTGAGATACAAATCTTTAAAAAAACAGTAAATAAACCCATAAAAAATAATCATTCGGACACTTGTCAAGAGTTTCCCGGATTAGCAAAACCCAGGCAAAAGCATGCATGTTTTAAGTTCATGAAATTGCAGAGAAGACAGAAAAGTATAAGTTTGTGGTTTACGAACATTTTCAGAATATTTTTTAACACAGTGGTTAACCCACATCTACATTTTGAACATAGTGTACAATTGCAGCAATCTGGCACCTCCCCCCACAGACCAAACTTTAGTCTTCGCCCCCCCCCCCCCGGCAAAATTTAAAATTTCCACTAAACTAATCTACCCTCAGCCCTCAATCAAAGAGTGTGTGCCAGCATCTCAGTCCAGCATGTAACAAATGAATTTGAAAGTCCTATAATTTCTCAAACCCCCCGCTCTGAGAATGTGCTTGCAGGAGAGAAATCTGTGCCACGATGTCTTGATTGGTGTGAGATTGTGAACAAATTATTTTACTTTAAGCCTGGTTGTGTTTAATGCTTTGTTTAACCCTTTAGAAAAGTAAAGAGCATATAAATCCCAGCCATTAAGCATAGGTAAAACAAAGGTAATTTGTATGGGTGCAAAGCTCTTTTCAACATTGTACGGTTAGTTAAGAATTTAAGAGATGTGAACTCCAAATTTAACACCCATCTCCAACTGGGCACAATCAAATACCTAAAGAGCCATGAAACCTCCCAAAACAAGCCCAGTTCAAGAATGGCCCACTAGGAATGTGAACTAGGACCATCCGCTTCATAGTCCAACATGATCCCAACCAAGCTAATAGTCTATGGACCATACTCATAAGGCTCATGCATGTAGCATTCTAAAAAATCACGTATGGGGCATGCGTTTTGCACTCACATGCTGCCACTGGATGCCTTCCCGCATGTATTCCTCTTGTTCCTGCTTCAGAACCAGCTCTATGAAAAGCTGTTGTAGTTTCTCGTTGCAGTAATTGATGCAGAACTGTTCAAAACTAAAATCAGAAACAGGCAGGGCTTATAGACTTTGACAAATCATTCACAGCTGGCAAAAATGTGCCACTTACATGAAAACTATAAAGAAAAGAAACAGTAAGTGCTGTGAGCTTCAGCTTATAAAAAATCTTCTTTCACATTGAGGGTGAAAACTATGTTTTAGTTTTAGTAAGAGTTTTACCGCACTTACAACACAATAAGGTCATTTAAGTGCCGAAGATTAGAGGTGTTACAAGAGAGTAACAAACATAAAAAAGAAGGAGGAGAGATCAGGACGATAGATGTTCGGTAGGAAAGAAGGAGCAAACCGCACCAGAGTACCCGCCAACAACCCATATGAAAACTAAGAAAACTTCTGAAAAGCGTGAAGGCAAATAGACACTAAGTTACTCCTACAAAGTCAGAAAGCGCAACAGACAACTATATCTCATGAGAAAGTGTTTCATGCCAAGATGAACAGATGATACATAATGATCCTTACTTTTCCCCATCTAGTTTGCAAATAGTCCCATTAAGAGCTGTTTAGTGCAAACAAAACAAAAGCATGGTATACATTAATAAACTAGAAGGATAGCAGTACATGCCCCTAGTAGTACTCTCCATAAACAAATATTAACCAGAGGTTATCCTTTAAACTGCAAGACAGCACATCTATTTTCAGTCAGACTGACCTGTTGTTGTCAAAGATTTCAAAGCCATATATGTCCAGGACACCAATGACTGTGTTCTTGCCAACCAAACCACCATGTTTTGGATCAATAGCGTCATTAATGCGTCCAACAATCCAAGAAAACATCCTGTCATACATAGCCTGTGAAAATACACAATAAAGACTGAAAACGATACACCTCATGTAATTAGTAATTATTCAATATAACAAATTAATGAGCATATGAAGTAGACCGTGACAGAGCTATACTACTTGGATGTAGGATTCACAATTAGAATGAGTATAGTTATATTAGTCATACTACTGATAATATGCAATTTCATTACTCTTAATGTAAGCAGAGAGATTCAACCTGTTTAAACTTATGGCACACTGGACAAGGAAAACAAACTCCCATACCACAAGTCCCCTCTAAAGTGACTACCAGACACACATGTGAGGCATCATGGTGAAATTAGGCACTCCTCAAAATTATGAAATGAAAGAAAACTGCATTTTTCTAAACACTAGCAATTCCCCCCCCCCCCCCCCCCCCCCTGTTCAACACTTTTTGTCCATTTAAAAACAAATTTTGTGCGGACTTTACTGAAAACAATCATCAAAAGCGAAAAAAAAAAGTAAATTTGCAGTTTCCATGGACACTCAAAAATTGAAAGTCACCAAACTTTGGCGGCCATTTTCTTCACCAAAAGCAAGAAAAATAAGAAAGCTTAAAGATAATACTAATAACTCTAAAGGGCAAAGAATTGACGAGAGCACGATTCTACCCATTCATGACATATATGCATAATATACATGACACACTATCGTGATATACACAAGACACTACAGTGATTAAAAAATATAGACTTGGAAAAAGAGAAGGGAAAAAAAAACTCTAAAAAACAATGTAAATAACACTCTAGGCATTTCAGGGTTCTAATGTGACCCTCACCTTAGCAAAAGCTTTCCTTGCGTAGTGAGCCTCTCCGGCATTGAGATGTTTGTCCACGACATTGCCTCCTGCGGCAATCACACGCGAACACAGAGCCTTCTCCACGTCATCCTTGGTGACGGACAACAGCGCTGCGATGGTGGCTGTTTCTACACTGTTAACAACGGTGGATTCCTCTTCTCCTTCAAATTCAATGTTGCCCTTCAGAGAAAATATGTAATGGGAATGTTTAAGTTTGCATCAATGTGGATTCATTTGATTGCACCTCTTTTCTCCAAGGGACCATCATCTCCAATAAAAGAAATGAAAAAGTCAAAAGCTCTCGCATTATTTCAAGAATAGAACCTACTTTTGAGTAAGGACAGATGCTACTTGAAAGTAGTGTATTATTACAATTATTAACATTAAAAGGGAACAGAAGATGACAATTCACATGGGAACTCATGACAAAAAAACAGTTTGAGATAAATGTTTTAAAAAACAGCAAAGTATCTCACCAGATAATAATAGATAGCATTTGTATAGCCAAATTTCCAGTTCACCAGCTCACTGTATGCACTTTACAATCTATACTATTACCCCAGCACACCTGATAGCATTCTGAAACAAGCTCAACTTCCTGAGATGCATATAGTGCACGCTGCCATTTATAGGCACTAAAACACTAACATACTGACAAGATCTTCAGCAGTCTATAGTTGGGTACCCATTCTCACCTAGGTGAAGTTAAGAAAATTTGCATACAGTGCCTTTCCCAAGGACACAACGTCGGGTCTGCGGTTCGAACCTCCGAACTCGCAACCACACGCCAACACGCCCTGTAACCTAACCACTAGACTACCGATGCCACAGACACTCTTCCTTCTTCTATCCAACTCACCAGATGCAGGACGGATGACACAATCTTCCACAGTGTGGATGTCTGTTCCTCGGTGAAGCCAGTGGCCCTCATGGCATCCATGACAGCTCGGAAATCTTGTTTGTCGTTGATGGAGCCCACCTGACCGAACGAGAAAAACAAACGATGGGTTACTCCACAAAGACAAATTGCAAATAACAATAGACATAATAAAGCAAAAAATTATCCTTCTGCATCAAAACGAAAGTGACTTCAATTTTGCCTCAGACTACAAAAAAAGCAAGAACAAAAAGAACAGAAAACTCTATTTCGACATCATTTTTTACAAGATATCTTTTCCATCTACAGGTAAAGTATGTCATGCAAAATAACATAAAAACATCATTAAATTAAAACAAAACTAACAATCTAGCTTTACCTTTTTTTAGTAAGGTTTTACGGCGCTTGCAACTGCATAAAGTCAAATGAGCGCCAATGGATGGATGTCAACAGAGAAGTCTCACCTCTCTAGCCTAAACAGCATAAAGTCTGCTTCGACTATCAAGGAACCCAAAAATAGCAGTTCACAAGACGGTGACAAACATATAAAAGAAGTAAAAGAAAAAATGGCTACAGCAAGGATGAGGAAAGAAAAAGGAGCAGTTTCCCCCAATGTTGTTCCGGCACAGGATAAGTCTGTTATTGATAAATCAGCCCATTTACAATTCTACTGAATATCCCCCTTTGGGAATGGCCTAAAGACACTTCAGTCAGTGGCACTGCCCTGGGGGGACTTTACTGTAGGCAAAAGAACTGAAGAGATCAAATATGATCTAACACTGTCCAAAATAACTTGAAAAATTGATTTTTAATTCTATATCTTATATTTCTTTAAATTTATAATGAAGCAGCATCTCAGCAAACTGAGTCGAATTATGTCTAACTGCAAGTCGATTTAGAGACGGCTACAATTCACCATCCCTACATTCAGCTATCATATGTGCATTTTCATAAGGCTTAAACTCACTTCAGTGTTTCCTTACCTTATGGTCCCCGCCCTGGTTGACAAAGTTGTACTTCTTGGGGTCCCTGGTCAGCTTGAGCTCGTTCAGCATGGCCTCTGGAGCACCTGCCATCAACTGAAATAGAACACATTGCAGGTCTCATGATGGAACTGTCCTTCTAAATGCTGTACGACCTCATCAATACAATTAAGATGATTTAGAGGGCAGGCTCAAACAAGGCTCAGAAGGAAATAATATCCCAGTAGAAAGATGGAGATACCTGATTTTAAAAAACCCTCCCCGCTAGGGAATTAAACTCATGACTTCTTCATACAATGATGAAGAAAGAGCCTAAAACATAACATCATGGACACAGGTGTTGGTCTCGTGAGTACAATCAATAAAACAGTATGGATAAAAATGCAAGCATGGCCAAAAAAAATAGAACATTTTATTCACAAACTTTCTTTGCACTTGCCTGTATAAGCCAAGAAAATGGATTGCATCCTATTCAAAACAACTTGTCTCCCCAGTTGAAACTAAATTGAAAGCTCCAGCCATTATCATAACATTTACATATCTACACTGGTCAATTTTTACCAAAATTATAACTTTATGAGGGTTGAAAAAAGTCAACTACGCAGTTAAACCTTTTATTATAAAACTAAAGAGTGCTTTAAATATTTTCATTTTATTGGTTTAAAAATCGAGCAACCTATACCTGGTAGAAGGAATGGAAATTCCTTTCTCCCTCTTGCTGGTAAACAACTCTGCTCTGAAAACAACAATTAAAAGAACCAATGTCAAGAGATCATTGTAAAACCTGCAAATATAAGTGCTTTATGTAACAGATGTTCATTTGAGACAGTTGGAAAAATAGCATGTCTTTACATAAACCAACTCTCTGATATATATATATTCTTTTTCTTTTACACAGACACAAACACAGGAAGACCAAAATGTACCGGTGAAGTACATGCACTAAAGCAAAGTAAAAACAAAAATATTTTCTCTCTCACACTCTCTCTCTCTCTTTCTCTCTCTCTCTCTCTCTCTCTCTCTCTCTCTCTCTCTCTCTCTCTCTCTCACTCTCTCCTCCTCCATTCCCACTTACCTCTCACACACATGCACACGCACACACACTGCCAATGTGATCCAGTTTACAGAATGTTGGCACAACCTGTTACCTTCTCTAACAGAATCAGTTAATCTACAGAGACGCACATCCAAACAATGACTACCATTTAGGCCCATTAACAAGTAACACAGATAGACAGAAACATTAGAGGCAAAGAAAAGAAGTAGGAACAACTTTCCCAAAGGAGTGTTCTCAAATTTTGGTTGCTTCCAAAGTTTTAAGGCTTCCCACCCACTTGGCTTGGTCCCACCAGAGATGAACATTCAACTCTGATTTCGAGCCCCTAAAATAACCAAATTGTGTTGAGAGGGAGAGGGGGGTTAAACCCATACCTTTTCCAGCAGATAGTTGCTGATGTGGCCTCCAACTGGGTCTCCTTTGAAGTCAAAGTTGATATCCATGTACTTCCCAAAGCGACTTGAGTTGTCATTGCGATTAGTTTTGGCATTCCCAAAAGCCTCCAGGATATTGTTGGACTTAATGAGGACGTCTTTGACTCTGAAAATTCAATATAAAAATTGAAAATACAAGCTTGTATTGTCGTCTCCTCTTCACTTATCAACTTCAAAAACAATTTCTAGGTTTGTACACAGTAGCATACGTGTAATAAAAAACAACGTGTGATTCCGTTTTTAAAAAGGTGTGTGTGTGTGTGTGTGTGTGTGTGTGTGTGTGTGTGTGTGTGTGTGTGTGTGTGTGTGTGAATGCATGAGGGCGGTGCACGTTCGTTTACACGTCAGTAAGTTCGTGTGCATGTAAATGTGTTCACGTAACCATGCAAAATAAATTCAAAAGACTGAGAAAAAGAAAAACAAACAAAAAAGATGGAGGGGGCTAAAAAAAAAAAAACTAAACAGATTGACGATAATTAATAAACCCCACCGTCAAAATGTTATAATTTGAGTGTGTGCGTGTGTGTTCGAGGGCGTGTTTGTACCCTGTGCAGGAAAAAGTGTGGGGGGGGGGGAGAGAGAGCGGGGGGGGGCGTCACAAAGGCGAGAACAGAACAAGATCGTTCTGTTGCCTACCCCGGAACAGATATGACCGTAAAGTACACATAGACGCCTGATTTACACTGACAGTTATCCCACCCACAACGACTATGCGATCACTTCAAGAGCACTGGAAATCCTGCAGAGACAGTCAAGTCTTAGTGTCGGGCAAAGAGTAGACGCGGAGGCAGGCAGCTCTCGTTAGCTCTGGTTAAAACTCAAAATTGTGTTCGAATCCATAGACGTTTGGTTTAACGAATGACTAGTTTTTGCGAGGAGGGAGAGAGGGGAGGGGGCTGAGCGATGAGTTGCCAGTTCATGCCTTTTTTTTTTTTTTTGGTTCTTAATTATTGACTAGTTCTGTTGTGTTTTTGTCTTCGTTTTGGCTTATTTGTTTTTTACTTTCTTAAAAGGGGGGGGGGGAATCTCTTGTAAACACCTGGGTAATAACACCAATTATTGATACTGATCCAGATGATCATTTTGAAGGTCAACGCAATCATGTTCATGGCCACAAGACGCTGAGCGCACAACGACGGGAGCTTCGTAAATAACGTAATTGACGTGAACTTTAATGAGCCGGCGGCTAGGAACATCGAAGAAACACATTACGGTGGACGGAAACGTGGGTGTGCGAGTGTGCGTGTGTGTGTGTGTATGAGAGAGAGA